ACTCTGCACATCCATCATTCTGCACAGTGAAGTTCAACATTCAACTGTAGGAACAAGAAGACTGATTTTTGAGTGGAGGGGAACTTTAAGTCATGCACAAATACTTTATTGGCAAATCAATATGCTGATATGTGGACACATCTTCATTGAATACATTAAATGACATATACGGTAGTTAATTTACAGAGTAACCAGTTAATTCTGAAAGTTTTAGTATAAAAAATCAACATGTCATACGTTTTAGCTTCTCTAAATGAGTTTGCTGGATGCAGTTCAGTTTTGTGTTAGTTATCGACTGTTTAAATCGCCTTAAGCATCACTGACAATGTTACCCAATGCAGAAATTTCAAGACATTATTACAGGTTTAGTGCAAGATGATTGTGTATGTATAACATGTTTGTATCAGTTCCATTCTGCCTGTTCTTTCCATTTGTGGCGTTACATTCTGTTTTACCAGCCAACAATTATTTCTTAAATGATTATTAATCAGTATTGATATTGACTGGAGGAGAGAAGGTGGTGGTTTACCAGCCACAACAACATTTTATCGGCATCTGGCCAGTAGCTGGTACAACCTACAACCATCCTGGAAAAATGTATCTTTACATCTCAGTTTAACATAGAAAGAAGTTTAATAATCTGATCACTTTTCTTGTGGGTACAAAAGTGAGATTTTAGAGCTACCGTATAAGGCTTTATCTGTCCTCTAAAGTAGTTCTGACCTTTCTGCCTCCACCAAGTTTCAATTTTAATCAGACTCAAAAACGTTGTCCTGTTTTCAATAAAAAACACTTTTAAGCTCTAATTGGATGACTAGATTACATAAACATAACCCTAAAATTCCACTGTCAGTAATTGTCTGTAGCTTCAAATGTGAGGTTTCTTGCTCAGGACTATCCATTGGTGGATGAAGCTGTATATGCACTGAATTCTGGGCCTCTCAAGCTCGGTGGAGACACTGACTGAAATGAGTATTTGTTTTTGTTTTTTATTTTGGGCTACCTATAACAGTAGGCGCCGTAAAGATGCATCATCTTGTTGGGAAACCCAAATGAGCGCACTCCTGCTTCAGGGATGCCTCCACAGCGCTCCCTGGGGTTGCTGATGGGAAACCGTACGCTGCCGTCTTTCAGCCATCCGCCGTCACACTGGTCGTATTTTTGGAAGCGCCAGGCGGAGTAAAGCTGGCCGACCAATGCCAACTCAGCTCCCTGACGTTTACATGCATGTTCCGCCTGCTCAAAGGAGAATGACCCTGATATGTAGTAGACAGAGCCTGAGAGAGGAAGAAAGAAAATAAATCCAGGGAACTTAAATCCAGAAACATGGGTTTGTTAAAAAAAAAAAAAAAAGGTCCCATATATTTAACTTATTCATCACATTTTTCAGGCTGCAGTGGAAGTTTCCAGGACAGATTGGTATTGGTATTTTCCCACAGATAAACCTTTTCATCAAGTCTCTCATCAATAGGTTTTATTGTCGTCTGTCAACCTACAATTAATCCCACTCTCTACTAAAGGTCAGCTTGTAGCACCACAGAGTTGACATTCAGTATCATTACAGGGATTTTGAGCCCCATGAAAAGATGTCACATTGGGCCCCACCACCACAGGACACCAACCCTATCCTCACCTCCAGAACCCAGTTGACCCATTCAGAGCATTACATAAGTAGGCAGGCTCTTGTTGTCCAATACTTATTGTGTGATATTTACTGAGCAAGCTATGAAGATATAATACTGTGCATGCAGCATTCTGCATACAGTGGAATTCACTGTCTGATGCAAGACTAATATCCTCTACAAGAAATGTGCTAAAGGTAATCTTTTACAGAAATTTGAATCGTAAAATTCTCTTAGCAATTTTAAATAACTTAAAATATAATTTAAATATACATTAACCGATCATCATATGTATAGAATCATATAACAAACAGAACTAGACTAAACTGTGATCTAAGGCACTCAGAGCTTACCAGACGTCTGGGAGGTGAAGCAGAAAGCGTCAAACCGATCGTGATTCTTATCTTTTGGTCCATAACTGCGGATGCCGGGGAGCAGCTCTCCTCCACAGGCAGGTCGTGGATGAATAATGGGGTAGTGAACGGTCCCATCATCGAGCCAGCCTGCATTACACCAGTCCAGACCCTCCGTCCATGCTGCCGGAGGAGACAGGCTGATTTAAGATGGCTGATATAGCTGCAGACAACATATTATTGGTCGGAAATAAACACTTTGCAAAGATACCTCTGTACAGCTGGTTGTATGAGGCTAATGTGCCATCTTGCTCAGCACAAACCTCCTTAGCCTCATGGAAAGTGAATCTGTAGCGGCCATTTTTACTCTGATATGGAAACACCACACCTAGAAATACAAGCCATTTGTGAGTGTTTATGTTTTTACACTTACGTACTGTATCCTGTAAATCTTTCCCCAAAGGAGTGAATCCCAACTATAAACCCACAGCCCTGATAAAATCCAGGCCCCATATAGGTAAATTTCAAACACAAAGGAGGATCTTCTGCTGCTCCAGAGATATATATATTAAAAAGTATCCTTTGAAATTTTCAGACACCAGATAGTAAGGCATTCCTTCAGTTTTGAGTAGACACTGGGCTCCTCATGACTTCAGTTACCTTCAATCCTCAAAGTTATGGTGACACTCTCATCCTCGATGCCATTGACTAGTTCGCAGCGATATGTGCCACCATCTTTCAGCTCAAGAAGGCTGAGCTGCAAGGAGGCGTCCATGGTGTGAGCCTTGAGGAGAGAAGCCCGCGTTCCAAGATGTCCGTATAGCTTGAAGGCGTGAGCATTTGATATTATGATAATGTTCTCCGGGCCTACGTGCTCTGGCTCCAGTTTTGTCCATTTCACTTTGTAATGGCTCGGTTTGGTTCTCAGGATGCACGGCAAGGTGACGTTTCCTCCCCTTCGGCCAATAACCTCAGCGTACACAGGTGGCTCAAGGAGGTACTTTAGCTTCTTGGGTGCTGCAGGTGAAACAGGATCCAGCAGGTGTCAGTGCCACCCAGTGTCATTGTTATGTCATGTGATTACTTATTTAGACTGCATAATATTTTCTGATGCATGGCAATGCAAAGGCAGTATGATTAGAATTTATATAAAAGAATAAAAAAGAATGCATGTAGGTCAGTTTCAGGTTTGTTTGTTTTTCAAATTTTGTTGCATCTGCAGCAATGCTTCATTAGAGAGTCGAGGTCTCGCCTAGTTTTCCTGCAAGCTGTTCCCAGCAACACGAAAAGGTTCAGGTCACATCTACATAATACCGGCAACATATACACCTCTTTCACACTTTCCCTATGTCAGTGTCTATGTCTGTCAACAACACCTGGATGTTTGCTGCTGATGCCAACTGCATTATTATGCTACCTGATCTCTCTGCAAGATTTCAGTGTCAATGTTGTTGCAGTCTCAGCATGATAAATCAGACAGCCTGTTGCTAGGGCTTCTCACGAGAATGTCACACACAAAACAATATGGAGTTGTGTGAATAATAATAATAATAAAAAAAACCCTGTCTACATTCACACCTCCACATACCTGTCACGATCGTCTGTATCAGAAAGTGACAAATTGTCAGATACAACCCTGATGTTGGAAGGATTTGGGGGAATATTATCATGCACTTCGTTAGCCATCATCCATTCATTAGCAGCAGACAAGAAGGAACTTACTGTACCTGCTCTGTTGGGGATAAATATAGCTGAAGACCAGGTGAAGCAGCTTGATGTTAATATAAGAATGACTGCACAGTTCATTATGAAGGGAGTCACTCTTCCAGCTCCTACAGTTCATAAGAAAACAGCACAAAGTTCTTACTGAGATGCAGTCTTTGGTGCGCAAAACCAATCACACTTTGTTCTCACATACAACCTGCCATGTCATACAAGGGAAATTGTAATACATTTAAACTGCATTTTGGCCTCTGAAATTATCAATGGGAAAGAAAGAAAAACCTCAAACCTGTGAAGTTGAGATACAGATGTCCAGCCATCCTCCTGAATTGTCCCACATGGCGTTGTTTTCAAAGTGTTTGAACTCTCGGATGACTGATAACTTTGGGAAGTAAAAGCTACTGTTCATCCCTGTTGGCTCCTCTGTCCAAGCCCTGAATGTTCAGCTGTCCCTCTTTCACTCTCACCCCCCTCCTCTCCTCACTCTGGTCATATGGTCCAGTCTGTTGTCAACAGTGTGTAAACAGGATTGTTGTCCTCTCTGCTCCAGATGTTGATGACCATATGAACGTCTGACATGCTGTCTTTGTTTCTATTTTCCGAGTTCTTCTTCGTAAGTGAGACAAAATAAGAAGAGAACTGCAAGGATTTAAGTTTCAGTTTCTAGACCTAATATTGAAACGTGAAATGGGTAGTTGTGCTGAGTTAGTATCACTCACTGTAATATTAAACCAACCTTAATTTGGAAAAGAAGTAAAACAGTGGTTCACAAACATGTCCCCATAGTCCTGTGACTGTCATCAATAC